AGACCATGGCCCCCAGTTCATCAGGGTCAGACCATGGCCCCCAGTTCATCAGGATCAGACCATGGCCCCCAGTTCATCAGGGTCAGACCCCATCCTGGGGACCACAGTCCCCAGTTCATCAGGGTCAGACCATGGCCCGGAGACCACGGCCCCCACCCTCCCTCCCCTGCACCCCCCACCAGGGCCTCCTGGGCTCCACTTTCCCACGGCTTCAGTCCCTGATCACAGGTGACCAGGCTGCAGGAAACACTGGTGTTTGGGGTAAAGGAAAGGGCGGGCCTGCAGAAGCGGCAGTGCCCACACTGAACATGTCTGGACCCAAAGATCAACCCTCCCCCTGATCTGTCCACACTGCGGTGACTGTGGGGCCACGATGAAGAGACTGCCTGGGAGAGCACCTCTGCCACTGCCCCTGCCCTGCTAATAGAGCCCTCACCCCTTCTGCAGAAGATGGGCTCTTGGGTCCCTGGGAGACCTGACTAGGGAGCCGTGTCACCACGCAGCATTGCTCCTGGTTACGAGGACCCTACTGGCCAATCCCATTGGACGGGGGGAGCCGACAGTCACCCACAGATGCAGGGTCAGAGGCCACAGCTCGGGGACGCTCAGCGTGCTCCAACGGAGTCTTACGGAAGCAACCAGCTCCGGGCCAGGGCAGCCCCCGCCCCAGCCCCCCGGGAAAGGTGCTTCTTTGCACTCAAGCTGCTGGGACCCTGCTGGGAGCCCTACTCCTGTTCCACATCCCCTTGAGTAGATGGGTGCCCAGGGCGGCCTGTGGTCACCTGGGGGGCCCAGGACCCTGACCCCACCGACGGCAGGAAGGGGCAGCACGACTTACTGCAGGAAGAGCAAAGAAAGAGACACCGATGAGGGTGAAGGTTGCGGCCAGGAGCCTCCCGTTCCAGGTCTGGGGGTACTTGTCCCCGTAGCCAATAGTGGTCAGGGTGATCTGTGGGGAGCGAGCCCCGGTCACTTGGCCAGGCCTGGATGCTCCCCATCAGCCCTCCGAGGGCTTACACCAAGGGCTCGGGGGCACCCCACAAGGCAGGCTGGACAGACACGGAGGCCACTCCCTTCCATGCCACCCATGTGGGGCCCAGTGAGGCGGGGGGCAGCAACAGCCATGCTATTCCCTGCAACAACCACATCAAAACTCCCCAAAATCTCTCCTCGTCCCCCTACACATGGGGTGGGGTCGTTCAAAGGGTCTGCTCCCGTTTCACACCCGGGAAAGCCAGGAAAACCGAGGAGGCCAGCAGAGCAGCTTCACCCAGGACGGAGGGCACCGGCTGGCTCTGGGTCTGAGCCCGAGGCTGGCGCGGGCAGCTAGGAAGCTCGGCAAGAGCCCGGGGCCGGAGAGGGGACAGTGCAGAGAGGGAACGACCGGGGGCAGGGACAAGGCCCAGAGAAACGGGGCCAGGGCCATGTGGGGCCTTCAGAGGGTGACAGAGGCCAGAAGAGGGGGAGGGGTCGGGAGGTCAGGGGAGGAGGTGACAGGAGGGGAGAGATGGGGAGGTAAGGAAGGGACCCTCCAGAGGTGTGGCCAGGAGGGCGGGCTGCTCCTCCCGACAGAGGCTGAGGCTGGAGCAGGCAAGCAGAGCAGTGCCCAAATGGAGGGGCACTCGGGTGAAGAAGAGAGCGGCCGACAGGGAGGTGTCTGCAGGCAGCTCCTGCAAGCCTTGCCCAAAGGGCCTGGGCCCCGTGCTGGGGCACGGGGCATCTCTCATCACCCACCCTCTGTGACCCTGGGAGGGTACACCCTCCCAGAGTCTATACCCCGGACTCTGGGAATTGTGCATGGAGCCCACCTAAAGCCCACTGTGTAGTCTGAGGAAAAGTCTGAAGAAGTTAGAATGTTCTGGAAAGGTGCCAGTAAGCTGGCACAGGAAGCTTGGGAAAGGGCAGCCAGGAGCTGGGCAAGGGCAGGAAGAATACCCACTCCTCAGCGTTAAACCTCCCGGTTGACACTTCACCACACGCAGGATCCTCTATTCCACTGTTTCCAACACAAACTAAACACATTTCAAGAAACGAAACACTTAAGACTTCCGCTCCCTCCACTTCGAGAAGGAGCAGCAGGGAGGCCCGAGGGCAGTGAACGGAAGACGCCCAGCCAGGGGCGGGAAGAGGCCAAAGGTTTGCCCGGGGTCAGAGCCTCGGCAGGAGGGGCGGGCACGTGGTCTGTGCAGGCTGAGGGCAGGGAGACTGTCCCCACAGCCGAGCCCCTCTGCAGGGAGGAGTCAGGGAAAGTCCACAGAGAGATGGACGGAGAGACCCCTCCCACCCTCTCACTGGCCCCACCCGGCCCTGCTCTGTGAGGATCCAGAGCTCAGCAGAGAGCAGGACTTCTGTAACTCCGCGTCCTCCAACAGATAGAGGAAGTTGTGTCTGCGAAACAAAGGGATCTTGAAAAGGAAATTAAAATCAAAGACGGAGAAATAAGGTTGAGGAGTCTCTAGGGAGTTTGTCAAAAAGATGAGAAAGTTGAGAAAAACAAGAGGACGAATCCCAGGTCCATCCGGTCTAACCAGAGGACTTGAGCCCCTGGGGGGAAGAGAGAGGGATGATCGAAGAAACAACCGTCTTTAATTCCGGAACCGAAAGACCTGCAACTCCAGACCCACAGCCTCACAGAGCACCGGTCCCGACCAGAGACCCGCTCACTGAGGCCACGCTCCAGGAGCGCACGAGGGGCCCGAGCGTCAGGGGGAACCCGCCACACACGGAGAGCGCCACCCTCAGGGCCCCCGCAGCCAGGGGGCACGGAACTGGGACATTTTCAAACAAGCAGGTCTCAAAAAACGTCTCCTCCAGAAAGCTATCAATCGTGCTCCTCCAAAATGAGGGCAGGTTCAAGAGAGGGGAAGCTGGGGGGCAGGCATTCGAGGGGCCAGCACTCGGGGGCCTGGTATGAGAGGGAGGTGCGTGGGGGGACACCCCCGACGCTGGTGAGGGCCCCCGGAGGACACTTCCGTGCAGGCCTGCAGAGCAGAAGGAACGGGGCTCCAGCAGGATGTTTTCCAAGAAGGACGTGGATGGGGGAGGGGAGAGCGTGCTCACTGGGAGGAGGGGCTGAATCTCATTCTATCGCAGTACAAAGTAAATAAATAGTGTCCAAAGTTTAAACTGGGAAATACCGGTGTAAGCGTCTTATTTGGGAACACGGAGGTAAACCTCAAGGAAAAGCCACAGGGGCTGCAGAGTCTGCTCCGGAGGGTGGGAGGGGGCACAGCGGTGTTTTCACCATGACGTCTAGGTACTATCCGCATGTTTAAATATATGCAAGTATTACTTTGATAAAACACCTGAATAAAAATTTTAATTCAATTCTTAAAGATGCTTTCATGTTGCCCATGAAAGGCCTGGGGTGGGCAGGCCGCGGCCGGTCAGAGCCTGGACCTCAGGGAAGGCACCATAGGCTCCAGTGCACTGCACTCTGTGCCCCCAGCCTCAATCCCCAACTCCCACCACACGCCAAGCTCCTGAGCTCCCTGCTTCCTGCGTGGTTGGATCGAAGGACACGGATTCCAACCTCCTCGCAATTAATAAAGTAATTACAAATAAATTGGATTTTGGCTCAAATGCCAGGTAAAATCTATGCACGCCTTTTCCCAGCAACTGGACGTGCAGTATCTGCCCAAGGCCACATGGCCAGCGTTGGCAGATCCGGGTCTGGGGTCCCAGGAAATAATGGACTCTGCCCTCCCAGACCCACAGGACCCTCCACGCAACCCCAGGCCAAGTGCCCACCAGGCTGAGTGTCTAGCACCCCCAGAAAGAGCCCCGCAAAGGAGGGGCACTCCAGCCCCCAGCCCAGGGCGTCCGGGGAAACAGGAGAGGAGGAGCCAGGCGGAGCTCTCTTCGGAGCAGAGGGGTCCGTCAGAGGGTGGCCCAGGAAGGCCTTTCTCAGAAGAGGCCACCTGCACTGGGTGACAGGAGAGGCGCCCTCGAGGGGCCCCGGGGGCAAGTGGCCGTGAGCACGGGCAGTGGGTGGCAGGCTCCAGACCTACCTGGGCGGGGGCAGCCAGGAAGGTAAGCCTGGGGCAGGGGGTCCAGTTCCCCTTTTTCAGACTCTCCTGTCCCTCAGTGTGACGGGCAGGACTGCCCCCTCCTCCCCTCCAGCACCAAGGTCACATACATGTGGTCAACAGGAAGGAAGGAAGATGGCCAGGCACAGGCTCCCTGGGGGCCCGGCTTCTCTGTACTAGAACATGGGCCAGCGCATCGCCCCCCCACCACCCAGCCAGGACTGCCACCTCCACATGGCATCATGGTCACGAGTGGCCAGCAGATGGCCCCAGAGAGACATGTCTGGCCAGCTCGGCCAGAAAGAGCTGTTGAGTCTTCTGTCCAGGCCCCGAGGGTCAGGGGGCACACCGGGGGTGGGGGGCCGGACAGTGAGCACAAGAAGGGCCCCCAAGGAAGGCCGAAGCAGGCAAGCACATCCTCGGTGAAGGACAGTGACCCCAGTGGCTGGGGACTCACCAGGCCCCACCACAGTGCGTCGGCGTAGGTGTCGAAGTGGTCGTTCTCGCCCTTCTCCGCCAAGTACACCAGGAACGAGGCCAGGATGAGGCAGAGGAAGCCGATGTACCAGGCGGTGACCAGCTCCTGAAAGGGAGGCCGAGTCACGGCCGCCTGGCCACCGTCCAGCCCATCCGCCCCAGGAGCACCGAGGGCCCTGCCCAAGGAGGTGAGCTAAGGCTGCGGGTCCAGGGCTTTAGGGGTGGACGCCCCTCCTGAGTGCCCAGAGCCCCCAGCAGCCCAGGCCAGAAGCTGTCCAGCCATGCAGCCCGAGCTCGGGACACGTAGCAGGCAGCGGGGGATGGCTGATTTTCCAGCCTGGCCCTGGGTGGTCCCTGCACCTGTTCACCTCAGACCTGGGAGGACAGTGGCTGAGGACAGCCAGCACGTCTTATCTGCTCAGGTTTGGGAGTGTCCCCGGACAGCCATCGGGTAGGAACTTGAGTCCCTACCTCAGTCAACTTCCCTGAGGCTGGAGGAGACTCCCCAACTGGATGCCCTCCTCAGGGGGCCAGCGCCTCAGCACCTTGGGGAACCGACACCCCGCCCCCGTCCTGTCGACCAAGCCCCCGCCTCAGGGCTCTGACAGGAAGGACAGTGGGGAAGAGGCTGTTTGAGCCAATAAGCCCACCCACGAGCAGGGCAGCCTCACAGCACAGCCTGGTAGGGCAGGGTCTGGGCCTCATGGGAGGTCCCTGCAACATGGGGAGGGGCTCAGGATGGGAGGCAGGGCTGCAGCCTCCCCATGGGTCCCACAGCCAGCGGCCACCACAAGCTGCAGCCCAAACAGGCAGGTGAACAGGAGTATGGATCCGAGCACACCCACTCAACCACGGAGTGAGCAGGCTTCGGGGCAGGGAGCGACAGGGACCAGGCCTTGCAGAAAAGCTGTTCTGGAGAGAGAGGAAGACATCGCGTCGTGGAAGGATGCCCAGAAGAAAGGAGGAGCTAGTTCTATCTGACCAGACCTCCTGGGCTGCACCCAGCCAGGCCGTCACCCCTCGTGCCCACCTGGCAGCCGGCTCACCTTGCTGTGGGCGTAGACCACGGAGCCCAGGAGCTTCCAGGTGCCGCCGCGCCGGTCCATGCGGATCATCCTCAGGATCTGCAGGAACCGCAGGCTCCGGAGCGCAGACGTGGCGAAGACGTTGCCCTGGGAGCCGGCAGCCAGCACGGCGATGGAGGCGATGAGCACCATGATGTCTGTGGAGACAGCGGAGCTCGAGGGGGGCCGGTCCCTCTGCGCCCCAATCTCTGCTGCATGGGGGTGGGGGTTCCCTGACCCAGGGTCCATGAGGATGGACAGACGGACGGGTATTGCATGGGGAGCACCCAGCGTGGGGACAGTTACTATTGTCCACCCAGCCCTGCTTGGGGCACAGGCTGCCCCTCCTGTGATGTAGGCCACTTTCACCATGGGCTCCGACGCCCAGCGGACAGGTGAAAAGAAGCTTCCCAAAGAGCAGGTCCTGGGGTCTCATCTGGCTTACGGGCCAACAGGGACGCCCAGCTCTTCCCACGGCCTGCATCCATCCCCTCCCCACACCGAGCCTCACCGATCACACAGAAGGGCTTCCGGGCAAACTTGAGCCGCCCCCTCCAGCCTCGGTACCGGCAGCAGCAGCCCGCAGCCCAGATCCGCACAAAGTACTCCACGCCAAACACCACGATGGTCACGATTTCCTACAGGGGAGGCTGCAGCTGAGCCAGCGCCGGCCAGGGGCAGGAGCGGGGGCCAGCCTGGCCAAGCTGGTGTCGGTGTGGGGGGTCCTGTCCTGTCCTGTGAGAGCTGGAGGTGATGTGGAGGTCCTGTCCAGTCCTGTGTGAGCTAGAGGTGGTGTGAGGGGTCCTGTCCAGTCCTGCGTGAGCTGGAGGTGGTGTCGGGTGCCTGTCCTGTCCCATGTGAGCTGGTGTGGGGGGTCCTGTCCTGTCCTGTGTGAGCTGGAGGTGGTGTGGAGGTCCTGTCCAGTCCTGTGTGAGCTAGAGGTGGTGTGAGGGGTCCTGTCCAGTCCTGTGTGAGCTGGAGGTGCTGTGGGGGTCCCGTCCTGTCCTGTGTGAGCTGGTGTGGGGGTCCTGTCCTGTGTGAGCTGGTGTGGGGGTCCTGTCCTGTATGAGCTGGTGTGGGGGTCCTGTCCAG